AGGAGAATGTTAACAGCAAAAATAAGAAGCTTTCAGTGCAAATTCCAAGTTGTTAATGGTCCGCAGCCCGAATACAATAAAAACATTGCCAAAAAATTCAAACGAATAGGTAGTGTTGCGGATGAGAAAGTCGGAACTGTTTGAGCACACCGGTCAGCTATTATAGAAGCAAATGTATGGGTCGTTCCATAAACAACTGCACGTTCTCCTAGAAAATCAGTCCAAAAAAACTACAGCCGTCTGTCAATTGAGCTAAACGGCAGAACATAAGACAATACCTAAGTGTTTGGTCTAAGCGTCAAACCTAAGTGTAAACACAGCAACCGCTTCAGCCAGTATCTCTAGAAAAAGGAACATGTTTGCGAATGAAATGCTGAAAATTATAGATAATATCAATATAGATGTGAACTCTATATGATTTTCCGATGGAGCACATTTCCATCTCGATGGATTCGTCAACAAGGAAATTTGGCGAATTTGGGGAACTGAGAATCCTCATGTGTGTGTTCCTCTATTCTCAGAAAGTGACTGTACGAGCAGCTGTTTACAGAAGTATAACTGGATCTTTTTTACTTCCTTGTACGAAGTAAAAAGGAAGTATTGTAATCGCGAAAAGTTTCAGGCAGCATATTTCATCGAAAATATCCATTTTGACGGCTATCGAATGCAATTTAACGACGTTTTTGCGTGATATCTGTACGTAAGGAGAGAATAAAATACTCTTTTCCTTCAAAAAAATTATAAAACTGTATTAAAATTAATTCTGAAGAGAATTTTTCGTGGCGTCTGTACGAACGTATGTACGTACGTGCGTGCGTACGTACGTATTTCGCATAACTCAAAAACGAGTAGCCTCAGAACGTTGAAATTTTGTATATAGGACTTCTATAACATGTAGATGTGCACCTCGTATTTTGGTTGCAATCGGCCGCACCAAACGTATATAAATATATTTATATATATATATCCACTTTGTTACCCGGCTCAGTGATCTCAGTTTCTTTACTCTTATATGTTGGTAAATTGTACATTTTTTGCTTTAAAAATGATTGAATTATGTTGTTTTTATCTTCCGGTTAAGGATTTTATGCCTTTAGTAAATCTGTGTGCAATATTTTTAGAATTATCAGCAATTTTAAAGTTGTTTAATTGCCGCTAAGCCTTTTTTAATCGCGGCCATTGATGTTTACATTTGAAACAGGGGACTAGTGGATTTGTTGCCAATCTAGAGAAACTTAGCTTCGCAACAACAAAGATAACGCCTTCATTTATTATTTAAATCATGCTTAATCCTTTCTGGAATTTTTTCGAGGAAATAAGCGTTTAAGATTTACTTCGTAATTTTTAATATAGATATTTTGAATTTTTATGTATTTTTGCCTTCTCGCGAAGTGAGAACTGAATTAATTGAATGAGAAATACTTAATCGTCTGTGAAAAACTGTTTTTTTGTTTTGTTTGCTTAATTTCTTTTATACATCATTCTAGCTTTATTATAGTATTTGAATAGAACATGTGGCAACGATTAGATAATTCTATTCTTTAAATGATACAAATTTTGTGCATTATGAGTTATAATATGAACGAAATATGTAAGTTAACTGTTATAAAATTATTGGATTATATAACAGTTAACTTAGTTTCCGTTATAAAATTATTATATAAATTAACTGTTATATAATTATTAATACTCTTAAGTGAATCTAGCGCCAGAGTGTCGTTATGGTAAACAAATACTAGAGTGAATTTTAAAGAATGCATTTATTCTACTGTGGTTTATGCGCTGTCGGCGAAGTAGATTTAATTCAATCCAATAAGTTTGAATGAAATGCAAGAAAAAAATGCGTATAATTTAATATTCCAATTTAATATTCCAATACAAGGAAGTCATGTGGTGTACACTACATCTACTGAAAAAACTTTGGTGGAATCATCCGCGACATCCTGTTCATGCAAGATGCTGCGAGTACTCATCGGACTGGTGCAGTTGTCAGTTCCTTACAGAGGAATATTTTGATAACCGTGGAACTGCTTTAAATTATCTGTGCTTCACATGAAAGGGAATAGAGTGGCCACTGTATTCACCAGACTTGAATCCATACCGATTTCTTCATTCGTAGTCACTTGAAGTATGCAGTGCACCGGAAAAATCTCCGAATACTTGAGAAACTTAAAGAAATAATCAGTGACGAATGTGTAGCCATTCCATTATTATATATCACTCTCTTTGCACTTAACGCCAAATAAAATTCAGTTCAACAGCAAAATCTCCAAATATTTGAAAACAGCATATCTTTAGAATTCCCGATACAGTATTAGAAGCTGCCGTACATATCTTTATATTTTTTATATTATTTTTTTAAAAACAGGTCGCTCTCGCGGCCACCGCCTTGCATAGTTATCATTAAAAAGAAAAAAGTATATAATGATTTTAATAAGTCCAGCTAGTGTCATTTCATAACATTATTGATCATTTCTAAGACATATAGACTATTCAAGACGTTGCCATTATTTTAATTCATGCTTATTTAAATCAATCACATTAAAAAGTAGAAAAAATATTCTTAAGAATTGTGTTTATTGCTTTTAAATCGCTTAATTTATTACTCAGAACCTTCCAGATTAAATTGTCTGAAATTGCAACTTAGGATTTATTACACGCTGGCGCTTGAAAGATAAAAGTATTTTATTTTCGGTCACAGCAATAGATTGCTGTCATAGAGCCTAGTTTCTCAATTAAAACTGAAAGATAACTATCGTATATTTTTCCAAATGGCAACAGTCTCGCGAGCCGGAGATAAAATTGTTTTGTTTCTAAAAGTGTTACCACTGCTGGCTTTCAAATCGTAGAGCTTGTTAATCAAAAGTTCATTAAAGATTTATAAAGTGTCAAATAAATAATAAAATTAATGCCGAAATTAAAAAATCGGGCTTGCAGGTGCACATGTTCGGGTGGAGGTTTAATGTTATTCAAAATTTGATGGTACCGGCATTTTTCCACACTGGAAGGAGCATACCTACATACACGCAGATCCTTCATTATTTAATTTTTTTAAAAATAATATAGGACGATAATATTTTGTGGCAACAATTTGCCGTCTATAGCGAAACGATGCAAAATCCCATTTCGAAACTAACAGCTCCTTTTGAGCTAAAGAAAGCTTAAGAGAAAAAGACTATATTGTTGTTATTCCTTCTCAAATTTTGGTCTACTTGGTAAATATTCTCTAAAAACGTAGAAGATTTTCCTAATTTGTCTATTTTTAGTTTAAATTAAATTTTAATTAAATCAAATTAAATATTTTAGTTTAAATTAAATAATAAATAAAACATGTTAGAATTATTTGGAAGAAATATCATTCTTAAAACTTAATAATTAGCCGTCAATATATTTAGATTGCAAAGTTTTTTTTTTTCTTTTGGCATTGGCGAGCATTTAGCCGACTTAAGCTTGGCCACTACTAAAGCCGGAAGTGGTGACCACTTTATTGTGGAAGCGGTCTACTAGTAGGAGGACCGCCTTAACCTCCTATGAAGGTAGGGACAATGAAATTAAAATTAAAATTAAAATGAAATTTTAATTCGAATTTTGAGATATTATTATTACTGTTTACTTATGTTTTAATAAATGTTTATTATATGAAATTAAAAATTTCTGTGAAATATTTTTTGTAATGTGTTTTTTCCTTTTATTAAAAAGCAATTACTGGCCCATGATTTGTTTACGGATTGTGCATGTGATCTGTGCACTTATCTAAATAATACAATCCAACCAACGGTAACAGTGGTAGTGAAGTTTCAAACGAAGACCAGAACGACAATTGCTAACTTCAAATGAAGGCACTTATTACAGGTTTTGTAATCCAAAGGTGTATAAAAACACAATTAATGACATTAAAATGTTTTCATTATTTCATTATTTCGAATTCAAGTCGCACACAAATTTTGACAAAAAAAAAACTGTGGTAAAAATATTTTACCACTGTGATACGATAACATTTATTAAAATATTAAAACTGATATAATCATTTCCAGTATGAATTTCTAGAATAAATTGCATAGTCACAGCATGTCGGATAAAATAAAATGTGGGATAACTGAAACTTCCGCACTTCGTGCGTTTCCAAATCTGTATTCATGCAAATTACATATACTAATTTGCAATTCCATCTTTTATATAGATAGTAGAGCATTTTAACAACATTAGCAAACAGAAATATTCTTGATATGCTCGTGTCGCTGATGATTTATTTAAGTTGAGAACTTAATTACCATATTAATTGAATGGTATGATGTCGTGATATGAAGTAAACAATGCCAGCTGTAGTGAACATTCTTGCTGGCGTTATGTGGAAACGCTGATGCACAAAGCACTCTTTACGATTCATATAACGCCGTGGTAAATGCTCATGTTATCTTTTCTCCTTTTGCTTTTGTTTGTAAAATTTCCTTATCTATGAGCATAAATACTGAAGTGAATTTTTATGACTCTCGATACCTGCAACGCGTATAAATGAGTGTTTTAACATTTTTTTCAGAAAGAATGATTTTTGGACATAATTTATGTAGTTCAGCTAAAAAGGGGCAATATATAAATTTACAGCATGAACCCTCATAGTAGGTTTATTTAGATGCTTTTCTTTGTTTTAATCTTAGTTATGTGAAGTCTTTGCTGTAATCGGCAGTCTTACTATGGCATGTATTTTAATTTAATAAATCGTATAAGCTTTGGAGTTTAACCATAAACCGGCAGTTTTAAAAGAACCTTTTGTGGCAATTACATCAGAAGGTTGCAAATGATTGCGTGTCTTTTAAATTAAATAGTGTATACTCCAATTTGTGTTAAATCTATTAATATAAGGTCTCAATAAATGTCAAGACTTACCCCTTTCATGTTTTTCTTGATGCTGGATTTTATTCCAGATACCTGCTAGAAAAAAACTAACGTCTTCTTTAAGAAATCATTCATCACGCAGAAATAATCACAGACATGACTTAGCGTTTCTTAGTTTTATATTGACATAATATTATTTACATTTTTAGTTTTGGAGGATAATCATTTAAACAACAATATTCGATTACAGCCGTTACATAAAGTTCCCCAAAATCGAGTTCAAGTAAAGTTCTAAATAAAAATGCTAGTTTTACGGCTATCGTCTGATTTCTCTCTGTTGCCGAAACGCTCGAACCAATAACTTTTCTTCTGTTTTTTCTTTTACCGGAGTAGTTGCCAGCAAACTGAAAAATAGATGAGATGCTGCATTAAAAAATTAAATGCTGTAGCAAATGAACGTTGATTTATTTAAAATAACTTTCTTTGTAGCTTGCAACTTATTACTTTGCACGATCATTATGTGCATTCAGTTATCACGGACAAGCAGTTAAAAAATACTATTTAGAACTCTTTTTAGGTTTTCCGGAACCGAGAAACACGAGAAATCCACTCCGCCTTCCCCGAGATTCGAACCATGAATCTTTTGCATGTTAGCTGAAAACATTTATATCACATGCTAACCATTTATACCACAGCGAATGTGATATTTCCATACGAAACTTTCCAGATGATATGGATATGGTAAAGTCTGGTAGACACCCACTGTTTAACCAGAGGCAATGTGGGTATTGTCCAGCAGCAATAATTATCCATATAACTACCCTTCACAGAAGGCGCTGCTGTCGTTTATGTTGTGCTGTATAGCTCTGAGCCTCTTGTGGACATGAAGTTCATTATGTTTACTCTTTCCTTTCTGAGATGTTTGTTCTCGATAGCATATTTTACACAAGGATTTATTTCATTTTCTGCGTTCGGAAGTTTATGCACGGAAGTTTTAGAAGTTCGGAAGCTTTAGATGAACTCAGAGAAATAAATAAGATAGATTATCAAGAACAAAATCTCAGAAAGAGGATCATAAACACAGTAAACTTCCACTCCCAAAAACGCACTGAGTATGCAATGTAACACAGCATAAAACACAGCAGTGTAAAAACTGCGAATCTGGGTTTAGCTAAAGTTAAGAATCATAGCCTTCGGGGAAAAAAATGATTAATTTTACTTTTTACAATGACGCAATTATTTTCTAATGCCTCTTGACACAATTATTTCCTGATAGAGTCATTTCCAAAAATTCAAACAATATGAAAACTGTGACAGTGCTTTGAGAAGAAATGAATAAGATTTGAAATGTTTATGAGATAGGCACAAATTTTTTATTCAGAATTCATTTGTAATTGTAGATGAAAATAAGCGTTGTTTTGACTTTGATGCGCGAGTATTTCTGGTTTCCGGATATTATTGATTTCAGTTCGGAGCTACAGTGACACTGTAGTGACGGAATAACCATATTTCATTGCCTGTAACAATGGACTATTGAAAAATTATAGTGCTCACTGACTACAGTTTGATGCGGTAACAGGATGTATGTTCAGTTTGATTTACGTTAAGTGATAAAACTGTTACACAGAGATCATGAACATGGCACGAAAAAGAAACACTTTCATTTATATTTCTTACACATTTTGCCTCACATTATCATGTTCATTTCAACACTCAACTATGCAATATTCTTCAGCTGGAAATGAAATAAAAATATATTAATTAAAGGTGTATTTTTTAACGTTTTGTGTGTTATCTTTATTTATTACATATCATGGTCTTCGCACTTAAACCATAAAATTCAATTCAACTATATCGCAAAATAAAATAAGCATATGTTAAGAATATTTGATACACAGTCTCGCGCGCTGGAGATAAAAAAATGTTCCCCCCCCGTACAGTGTTGCCATTGCTCGCTTTGAAATCGTTGGGTTTGTTAATAAAAAATTAGTTTAAGTGTCACAAAATATAAAATTGATAATAAGACAAATTGTAAATTAGAGCTCCCAGTTGCCCACAATATTTATGCAGATTCTTCATTATTTGATTTCTTTAAATATAACACAGGGCAATAATATTTGATGGCAACAATTCGAAAAATGAAACGGACATTAGAGTTTTCGACGCAAAATGCCAAAACGAAATTAATACCTCTTCTGGGCTAACGCCCTTTGGAATATGATGCCTCTTAGTTCATTATTTACCGATGAGCATGCTTATCAAGTGCTTACAGATATCCAAATAAATTATGTGCTGTTATAGAAGATACAAAAGGAATTGCGCATATTTAGAATTTGTGCCAAACAACAAATAATATTATTTTTTAAAATGTTTCTTAAAAGTGATATATTAATTTATATCCTTATATTATTTATTAGTCCAAAAAGTTTTTGTACCTGAAAGACTATTGTTTTCGTTTTGCGATTTTGCGTCAAATCACTATAAATGGCGTATCACTTTTCAAATGTTTGCCACCAAATATTAGAGTCCGACATTATGTTTGAAAAAATTAAATAATGAAGAATCTGCATAAATGTATATATGTTTCTCGCATTGTGATAAAATAACGGTACCTAGAGTCATCCAATTTTGAATGACATAATCTTACTGCGAATATGGGCATCTGAAAGCCCAAGTTTAAAATTTGGAATTTATTTTATTATCGATTTCATATTTTGTAATACTTTAACGAATTTTTGATTAAGGAATTCAACGATTTAAAAGCGAGCAATGGCAACATTCTACAGAGAAAAAAACCTTTTTATCTCCAGCGCGTGGAGCTGTGTATCGGAAATTCTAAAGATATGAGCATTTTGAAATTATTTTGCGACATTGCTGTTGAACTGAATTACTGAATTTTATGGTTTAAGTGAACATGATATTTAATAAATAAAGGTAAACCACAAAACGTTAAAAAAGCGTAACGTAATTTAAAATCTTTGGACGTAATTTAAAATCTCAAACCTTTCAGTTTTTTTTTTTTTTAAGAATGTCTTTTTTTATTAACGAGAAAAAGGACATTGTAAGATGTGTTGCAATCGTATTCATCGATTTTTTTGTACATGTGGGAAATTTTACGAATTTCAAGATGCGTCTGATATTTATTCTGTTTCGAGCAGATAATCTATACTACTAAAAATCCTGTGCATCTGTTTGTTTGCTTTTGACATCACCTCATCCGAAACTGTGGCGAGTTGAGTTTCGAGAGAGGTATCTCCGGATTTCAAAAATTCGTGTGAAGCCATGTCGACCATTTTCATCTTCGTACGACTTTATTCAGCCGAGATATTAATTAAAAACTCTAAAAACACTAATTTTTGCTCTCATTTCTCCGAGTGGCAACAGTTTCGCTTCCTGGAGGTAAAATGTCATAATAAAAATAAGGTCACATTCTGACGTTGAAGAAAGCAGACGATTGCATGATTGCATGTGACGTCAATATATGTCAAAAACGTTTCGTTGATGTCAGCATTTTAAATAAATATCTGCTATTGGCAACTTTTTTTTGTTTCAGATTAGGAATAACTGACACGATATGTTATTGCCAAGTTTATTCTTTCAGTCATATTGAGAAAAAGTTGTTATATAACATTAAATTTTAATCATGACGTCATTCGCATACCTGAAGTGTTAAAAGTTTTTGTTTCCTGTCTTGGCAACAAAAAATTATTTGTGAATTGGTTGTTGCTTGGAAATACTTATGGAATAACAGTTTTCTTATTGTTGTTCAACGAACGAAAGCAGACTATATTTTGTTACATTGATAGTAGGAAGTAGAATAAATGATTCTCCTATAAGTGTTTGCTATGTAGTGTTTGTGTTTTCAGTTCCTTGTACGAAGTAAAGGAAGTGTTGTAATCGCGAAAACGTTAGGCTATCATATTTCAAAGAAAATTTCTATTTTGAACCTCTATTGAATCCATTTAAACGATGTTTTTGCGTGACATCTGTAGATACGGACAGAATAAAGGACTCCTTTTTCCGAAGCGTTCTGTAAAATGGATTCAGATTATTTCGTGATGTACGGACGAGTATGTATCTCGCCTAACTCAAAAATGAGTGGCCTCAGAAGGTTGAAATTTTTTATATCGACCTGCTATAACATGTATTTCTCATCCCCCTTTTTGGTCGCAAACAGCCGCACCAAGAAAAGCATATGTAAATAAAATATATATATACCTACTCTGTTACCCGGCTCGATGAGCTGTATTTTTATTCTTATACATTGCTATATTATGCAATTTTTGGCTTTAAAAGTGATTGAATTAAGTTGTTCTCATGTTTCCCTTACAGTTTTTATGACTTTATTTAACCTGCATGTAATAGTTGTATAATTATCAACAATTTGTATAATTAACAGCAAAACAACACAAGTTGCCTAAGTGTACTAAATGAAGCCGCAATTTATTTATATTTGGAACTTTTATTAGAATAATGAATTAAGTCAATTTCTGCACCAACTTCAATGTCTTTTTGTCGGGTGGGACTTAAAGTAAACTTTCAATTTTGTCCACCGAGAGATCTATTTTTCTGCAGGCTGGCTGAATTGCTTGTTGTTTAATTACTGTTTTAACTGTATTTGGTGTTTTATGTTTTTCTGGATTTTAGACTTTTTAATGAAGATGTTTTGAGATTTTATGGATTTTTGCCTTGCCGTAAAGTGAGGACTGAATTAATCGAATGAGAATCATATTTCTAATGAAATTCGAGGGATTAATTTTAAATGAAATGCAGCAAAAAATGTGTATAATTTAATAGGCCGTACAAGGAAGTCATGTGGTGTCCGCATCAGATACTTACATTGTTGAATTAGTTTAAAAACGTTTTGCATTTTATAATACGAGATTACTATAATTTATCTTATTTTATTTTGCAGGTTTCTTTACTATTAGATCTAGCAAGAGCACAGTTATTATTGAAAAGTGGTGGTAAGTATTTTATATTACAATTTCCAAAGTTTTATGCTACAATTTTAAAACATTTTTTTATCCTTGAAACATTTTCCAGTTAATGCTTTTGAATCAAGACTTACAGAAAACCTAAGAGGATACATCCTGTTTGAAAGCTCGTGAACACGCGTCGCCTTATTTTAAACAAAATGGTATGTCGTAGTAGGATTACGTTTTACAAATGAAATGAAGAAAGATGATAAAAAGGTAGAAGTTACTTATCGGAAGTTAATTTAACAAAAAAAAAAAAAAAAAAAAATCTGAAATGTTTCAGATTTTAAATTACGTCCAAAGGGGCGTTTTTTAACATTTTGTGTGTTACCTTTCTTTATTAAATATCATGTTCCTCGCACTTAAACCATAAGATCCAGTGCAACAGCAATATCGCAAAATAGTTTTAAAACGAGCATATCTTTAGAATTTCCGATACAGAGACTCACGCGCTGGAGATAAAAATGTTTTTTCTGCACAACGTTGCCATTGCTCGCCTTGAAATCCTTGAGTTTGTTAATCAAAAATTCGTCAAAGTTTTAAAAAATAGGAAATCGATCATAAAACAAATTTCAAAATTTCAAATTTGGTCTTCCACATGCTCATATTCGTTGGAGGATTACGTTATTCAAAATTCGATGACTCTATGTACCGTTGTTTTATCACAATACGAGAAATATACATACATTTATGCAGATTTTTCATTATTTAATTTCTTCAAATATAATGCAGGACTCTAACATTTTGTGGCAACAGTTTGAAAAGTGAACCGACATTTATGAGTCCGACGCAAAATACCAAAACGAAACTAATAGTCCTTCGGGATTCAAATCCCTTTGGACTAAAAAAAAAAGCGTCATAATTTTATGATGTAAACACATGTTTTACATTATAAGAAACAGCTCATAGTGTGCAGCCTTTTTATTTAGATAATATAAATGAATTTTACTTTGAAACCAATTTACCTGTAAAGCAGTTTTTCTTTGTTCGTCATATTAATTTAATCAATTTATTCACTTTTTAATTATTATTAAAATTCATATAAGGTAGTGTAGATGAATGAATCTTAAGCGAAACATGCGACCAAGATATTAAGATTTACTAACAATTGAATTTGAGTTAAACTGTATTCTGTATTTCTGGGCTCTTGTCACAATATTCGCTCAGACTAGAAAGTTATGCAAATTCAGTAGCATATACCATAGTTCGAAGGGGTTAATCCCCGTTGAATATTGGAGATTTCATTATGTCGCTGTTGAATCTTACTGAAAATATTTTCCTGCTGTGTTAATCAGGAACGACTGAAATTAGTTAATCGCTAAGGAGGGGTAAATATTTTATGAATTCAGAAATAGCGCATATGATCATATGTTATAGTTTGGAAGTTAGGATCTGGTTATAAATAATTTGGATCTTAGCGATCTTTTCTAACGTTATGTCGTTTTAGTGTGCAACCCAACAGGAATGGATAAATAAATCTTTGATTTTAATCTGGTTTATGTTCACCGTGAAATAATTGGTTAGGGTGATAGCTCGTTAACAAGTTAATTCGGTACTTTTCCGTTTTGTTGGCGCAAGCGATAAAGTCGCCAATAATGGTACAACTGATGTCAAGCGGTATATCCTCGATGGTAACCTTTTACGCTTCATTTTCAAAACAAGTCGCAGCCATTTCTTATAAGATTGATTGTTTCTTTCAATTGAATTTTTACCAGGTAATTCAATTTTATGCCCTAAGGCCATTAGCGGTAATTAAAGTCAAGGATGCAATCACACCGCTTATCCGAAGCCGAAGCTATAGAAAAGGCAAATTCAAGGCTTAAATTCATAAATTCTAATGAGAATGCATTAGCGAAGTAAAGCACTGCAGTTAGCATAATTTCTGAGTATGCTATTCGAACAAATTGAAATAATTCTTGCATTTAAACTTGTGTTCCAAATTAAGATGTAACTTGAAATAAATGTAGATAATTAGCAAGAGAATTAGATTTTTGTAGCATAGTTTACGTGAGATGAGATCACTTGGGGTCACGTGATACGAACCGGCGAATCAGGATGTTGAACCGTGAAAGCATAGTAAATTCTTAAATCAATGTGTTTTTACAAATTTATTGCCTTTATTTACTAGCTTTTTACGAAATTTTAAACGATATTAAAATGCATATGCCTTTAAAGTAAAAAATTCTTAGAGCTAACATTTGTTAACATTTTTTTTATGTGTATACTGTATGTTCTCGCCAATAAAGTCTACTTGGCGAGATTTGTGGCGGCGAAAAGGAAAAGTAACGATAATTCTTTGGTTAGCCGTTAGGTTGAAAATTCAGTTTAATTTCACGCCATGAGAAGTTATAAAAAAATTCACCATTTTAAGAAATGGTAACTGATGAATACAAATTGGCCTTTTAGGTAAACATCAAAAAGTTACATTCTGTACTTACTGAACCTCCTCTTTCCAGTATCGAGATGTTCTTATAAAATTTCCAACCTTATTCTGTAAAATTTTATATGTGGAAGACTGTGGGTTCAGTATTAAAGAAAATTACGCCTATAGCCACCTTTTTATAAGCACCTTGAATGTGGGAAATTTACATTTGCTGTTGAAAAACTGTCATGAAGCTTTGCTACTTATGAAGGAGATTCCGTAAGCAAAGTGCTTTCTGTTAGATACTTCATGTCTTCGATGCTTGGTGTTCGAATCTACAATGCTTTCCATTCGTGATCGATGCGCCCACTAGCGGCCGAGTGGCAAATCGCTGAACGCTGATAGTTCAGTCAGAGGTTCGAATACCGGTGAAAGGGCTGACTGCATGGACGTTTTTGTGGTTTTCCCCGTGTGTAACGTGCGTTTACATATGTGTCTCTCTTCATATTTATCTTAATATCAATGCATCCTTATGTTCGTATCTGTTAATATTTGTTTGTTTTTGCCTGTATATGTATCTATTCTTGTATTTGTTTGGTATATTTTTATGTATCTGTGTTATTCCAACAGCCATGCACACCCACAAAGTTATTGTCACGCAACCATTGTCAAACAATAATCCTCAGCCCCTGTTTGGCCATGTATTGATCTTTAGATCTGTATTATAAACTCCCGAGGCAGCCTCACGGGGCCCCAAGGAGTTGTTATTCCTAGATAGGGGAGGGCGTGGGACTCACGCCTGTTTACCTATGTTAAACACCAGGCGTCCCCGTCCTCCGTCACCTGTCACCTGTGTAACGTGCATACGAGCCAGTTTCCCTTAGAAAGTCCTTCATCAAGGCATCCTCCCCTCAGGCAGATAACTTTAGTGTGTTTTGCCATAATCTACCAAACCTAATTTATACGTGTTTATGGCATGTCTCGGTATGCAACAAATTCAGTTAAGGGGATATTAACTGTATGCGCTAACTGATGCGCATAAGATGAAAAAGCTGAATATAAACGTGTTTGTTTTATGAAAATTAAATTTAAACTATCTTTATTCCTAGGGGTAAGCTTTAAACACCATGTTGTGCACGCAGAGGTGACGCTTAACATCTATCAACTCTCGCTCGCAGTTAAGGCAATTAATGCCTCGCTCGGCTTGTCGGAAAGAATCCAAAATGCGCTCGTGGAGAGCGTTCAACCGCTAAATGTGATGCGTCCCCGCCAAACTAGGAAGAGTTCACAGACTACTTCGGTACACTTTCGCTTCTTTGAGGTGCTCGATCACTTTAATGAGGATGAATAGTACTTCCGACACTTGAATCGCGGCCTTCGATATCGATTATAAAAGTTTAAAAATAAACAGAAAGTTAAAAAAGTAATAAAGTAAATAAAATAATGTTTAAAGTAAATAGAGAAAACAAACAATAAGTAAAGTAAGCAAAAATAATAGAAATAAAGCAAATAGAATAATAGTGTTTAGAGTTAATAGAAAGTTAAAGACGTAACCGAACTGTCTTTAGGCTTAACTTCCATTTAAAAAGGAAAGCGTCTGCACTGAATGAATATAAATAACATGATTATGCTTCTTCGATTTTGCATTGATTTTTATCCTAATATTTCATCGCGAGTTATAATCGCAGCTTTAAACGGAATAATTCTCGCATCTAACACTTAATGACTTTTGCTGCTGCGAAATTATTTGTATTCGAATGATTTCAGATTAACTGAAGGCGGATTAACCGAAATGTGTTTTAACCGAATTTCATCTGAAAACGTTTATTTACTGTGGAACGATGAAAAAATTACGCTCGACATAAAAAGAAGCAACCTGTGGAAAATACAAAAAGAAATGAAAAATGGGTGTAATAACAGCAGCGATAGCAGACGATAGATATCATTCCATTTCATATAATTTAATGGTACGTGAGTTCGGTATATATAAATATTACACAATAAACACAAAACGTAAATGACTCTTTTACACGCATTTGAACTTAATGACATCGTTCAAAGTCTTTTGTAAATATTGTTAATGACATTTACAACTAAAATCTATCTTTTTATAAAGTGTTTTATTCTTCCATTATTTACTGTATTCGATGTTTAGTTTTGAATACTTGTTTAATTTATGTAACAAATAAATGCATTTATTAACTTTTTTAACCACAATTATTTGATTGGATTATTTGTTTACGGCAAAATATATGAGGGCTATATGTCTAAGGGAAAACGTCTTCATGGGAGAATAGGACTGGCGCTAGGCATTTCATCGCCCGGTGCTGTCACTGTGGGTTTTGAATCTTGATACCCGTTGCCTTCCTAAATTCTAAAGTTTTTTATCGCTCCTAAATTGTATCACCTAGTGTAATTGCACTGTCCTGTGCGCGCCGGTGCGGAGGACTGTTCAAGGCAATGTGGTTTGTATTCATGTTACATATGGAAAAGGCCCACCAGCGGCCGAGCGGTAAAGTCGCTGAACACTGGTAGTTCGGTCCGAGGTTCCAATCCCGCGAACGGGTTGGCTTCATGGGTGTTTTCGTGGTTTTCCCCATGTGTAACGTGTATACGAGCCAGTTTC